GTTTGGATTAACTAGCGGAGTAGACAGATATGAATGTTTATTCATAACCATACTGAAAATAAGTAAATATTGTTAGCTGATGCTAACTGTCTAGCTAACGAGCTTGCTGGTGCTAAATTGAGGTAATCTTTAAAAAATAAAGTACAAATATTTTTATTCAACCACCTAGATAGATTACATCTGAGGGAAAAAGAAAGGATGTGATGTTCAGAACATGGTAACTACAGTAATGATCAAAGTGGGAAGTGATGCCCTCTGGGGGCATTTGGCCCTGGGTGTTTTTACACCACACACAAGGTTTGAGAAGAAAAAAATCATTATGAAAATTGAATTATATTTTCCTTATTATATTCATTATTTCCTTACTGGTTATTTTGGGAAAAGCCCAGATATTTTGAACAGTAGGATTATAAAAAAATATATGCTAATATAAAATTAAGTGATATAAGTAGCCTATATAAAACTGCAAAATAAACATAATATACAAATAAGAAATGTTGGAGGGAATGCACATGTTTTAACATATAAACCACCAGTAGGTGGCGGTAAGTCACTTAATGAGTGAGTCATTGAGTCATTCATTCAACCGATTCGTTCAAAACGCTGAATCATTCAGTAACAAAACATCGCCCAGTGTTGCTTGGAGAATGTGCGATACTTCTGCTGTGATCTTTGATTGGAACTATTTTCGTTGGTGAAATAGAACAAAACAGTAAATACTGTGTCTAAATTGTAAGTAGCTTAGTAACTATTTGACTACTTGTTTATTTAACTAAAGTCAATGTAACATTTGCAATCGCGAGAACATTCAGCAAAATAGCCCCCTTGTCATGGTATGTTACTTAACTATATCATGAAAAAAACTAAACATTTTGAATTTTTACCTCAGTGTGTTTCATCTGAGTTTCTTTATGTGTGCTGTTACGCTCATTTGTTTTGAAGTTTCTCACAAAGAGGCAGACTGCGCGACCTTAAAGGTCCCATATTTTACACCTTTCTGGAGTTTTATTTTAGGTTTTGATGTCCTTAAGAATATATATTTGCGGTATAAGTACCAAAAACCATCTCAATATATTTTTTACAGCTCCTTTCTCAGGAGCTCTGCTGAGAACAGGTCGATTTTGGCCTGTCTAATTAATATTCATGAGCCTCTCTTCTGATTGGCCTGTTGTTTTCTGAGTGACGCATGGCCAGGCCAACGACAGGTAACTAGGGTGATCCGATGTCACAGCGCTAGCTGGAGGCAGCAAAACAAAAGGGAAACTACTGACTGTTTTGAAACTTATATGGTAGTTACATAGCACCTAGACCTCAGTTATCATAAAAAAAGCCAGGAAATTTCAGTTTTGACAATATGGGACCTTTAATACCAGAAATCCATTATCAATTGCTGTTTAACACTGAATGTAATAAAATCAGAAGAATCATTCTCGCGTTTTGATGCTTCGCTGGTTATTTTTTTGTCACTTAAGTTTTAATTTTCTAGGTTATTTGTCCGGTTGGGCAAGTAAAAAAAAATATTTTAAACTAGCTAGAAGGCTGGTCAGCTGTAGCTCTAACTATATTATTATTATTATTATTATTGAGAACATATATAAACAAATAAAGAAGGTAGTTCAAACCTGTATTCTGCTGCTGCGATTCTGTCTGATGACTAACTACCGCGGGGGAAGAAAATAAATCTTCGGTTTGTCCAATGATTGTAAACAGTCATTAGGTCCATCAGACTGAAGATGTTTTAGCGGTAATGTGACCAGAAATATTGAAGACCCATCGAATCTTAAAGACATTGTAAGACTTTTTAAGACCTTTTATTAGGAAAACGTAATTTAAGTTTTTTAAAAGAGTTTTTAAGGACCTACGGACACCCTGTCAATACTTGAGCTGACGCAACTCTGTAAGATCAGTTATACTGTTTTCACTCCATAATATTTGTGTAACTAGGCTCTGAGATCCACTAACGTTAGGTCTCAGGATCCGTCACTTTATCCTGTCTTGACGGGTTCGCCAGGATAATGAAGCGTGTAGTTGTTAGCATTAGCCTCCGAAGGTCTAATGTAATTTAGATTCATTCACAAAAGCGCAAAATAACATGATACAATTACCTGCTCTTTCCCGTCCCCGACAGGCGGATAATAAACTCTCTGCGTGCGAGCGCTGCCATGATGCTTTGTATGCGCCACGGTTGCCAGGTTTTCACACCGAAAACCCGCCCAATCGCTACTCAAAACTAGCCCAATCCGGGGGATAAAATACACGTTTTTTTGGCGGGGTTCCCCTGCTAAAATTCGCATTCCAGGGGATAAATATCATGTTATTGGAGTCGCTTCAACCCGCGGACATGAAACACAACCCGCGGCAACAGTGTTTAAAGTAGCCCAATTCCGCGGGAAAACCACGGACTTGGCAACACTGGTAGAGAGAGAGCAAGCGCAAATCCTGGCAGCGGCAGGTCGCAGCGCCACTTCCGGTGGCATCCCACTAGTCGTTTCTGGTAGCTTCCACAGTTCGTGGCAGCTGCCACGGTCTTTCTCGCCGTTTCTGCTGTTTGCTCGGTAAAACTACACTGTACTCAGTGGCGTGCGGTGGTGTTTTTTTTAAATGATGATGCAAAGTTCCCACAATTTTATTATTATTATACAGTACATTTTTATGTATCAGTTGCCATAGTTCTTGCCAGGAGTCAAAGGCAGCTGCCAGAGTTCGTGGCAGCTGCCACTAGTCGTTTCTGGCAGCTGCCACGGTCTTTCTCGCTGTTTCTGCCGTTTGCTCGGTAAACTACACTGTGTATACTATATACAGGGGCGTAGCCATCATTTCAGAAGTGAGGGGGACAGAAATTTTATATATGGGCGTTTCTTCAACTAGGGGCACTTTTATCCTTGTGAAGTTGAATAAAAAAAACTTGTTCAAAAGT